CCAGAGAGAAAATTAGATAATACATGAAGCTGCTTTATATGTGTGATCCATGGCCAGTGCGTTATTAGTCAAACTCTATTTTGACCAAAAATAAGGCTGCATTTGAATGACGTTTGCTTACTGATTCGATACCAACACAATCTCACCTCTACAGAATCAGTGCAAGCTAATTCACCCCCATTCCCTCACTCTGCCGTTTTAAACTTTCTACATAAAATCTGAAACATTTTACATCTAAACTCAAACTCCATGAGGGTAGGAATGATATCTGTGTTTTTCTCCATTTTATTGGTAGTACTTATCCCATAGTAGGCTCTCAACAAGTATTTGTTGAATGAATTAATGAATCATCATATTAATTGTTAGTAACAATTTCTCTTTAATAAAAAAAAAGTAGAGGAATAATGTAATACTTGTGTAGCAACATTCAGAATTGGCAAGTGTTATCATTTTGTCATTTTCACACCACTATTTTCAATATAAAAGAAATGGAGTATTACAGATAATGTTGAAGTCTCCTTCGTTCCCTTCTCCCATTCCATTTTCACATCACTTTCAGTATTTCCTTTCCAACTCCTTTAATTCTCCAAATTTTCCTCACTGGGATGAATAATGAAATAGTCAAATCTTTTTTTGCTAAATTGTATTATTCAATAAAATATGTATTGGGGATAACACATATTGCAACAAAGAAAGGGAGCTCTGGAAAAATTGCATGCTCACTTACATAAGCCNCTGGCAATGTGCAACACCGGCCTAGAAAAGCCACAGGCACCAGTGCAGCCCACTTCTTTGGGACCTGTTACACCTTTCTTTTGGCTTATCCCTCTCTTTTGAAATGGGAATATGTATGCAATGTCTGTTCCACCACTGTATCTTGGCAGTAGATAAATTTGTTTTTGATATTTACAGGTTCACAGCTGGAAGGAGTTTCACCTTTGGTCTCAGATGAGATTTTGGGCTTTGGACTTTTAAGTTGGTGCTGGAACAAATTAAGACTTTGGGACTGTTGGGATGGAATAATTGCATTTTGATTGTGAGAGGTACATGAGTTTTGGGGGGCCAGGGGAGGAATGATGGAGTTTGAATGTGTTGTCCCCTCCAAAACTCATGTGAAAATTTGACCCCCAATGTGGCAGTGTTGGAAATTGATTGAGTCATGGGGGTGGATCCCTCATGAATGGATTAATGCTCTTCCTGGGGGTGGGGGGTTAATGAGTGAGTTCTCACTCTACTAGTTCCTGTGAGAGCTGGTTTAAAAGGACCCTGGCACCTCTTCTTTCTCTCTCTTGCTTCCTCTCATCATGTGATCTGCCTGTACCTGCTGGCTGCCTTCCGCTTTCCACCATGAGTAGAAGCAGCCTGAGGCCCACGCCAGATACAGCTGTTCCAGAATCGTAAGCCAAATAAATATCTGTTCTTTATACATTACCCAGTTTCAGGTATTTCTGTTTTAGAAACACAAAATGGACTAATACAAAAGTATTTTAACATTTCCTTGTACATATTTATGGGGTACAGTATGCTGTTTCAATAGGAATCAATATTTTTTAAAGCTCCAAAAATAATTTCAATGTGCAGAAAAATTTGAGAACCAAAGCACTATCCCAGTGTCTCTCAAATTTTAATGTACATTGGGATCAGCGAGGAATAATCTTTTGTGCAAATTCAGATTTCAGTAGGCCTGGGTGTCTGAGAGTCTGCACATCTAACAAGCTACCAGGTGATGCCAGTCATGCTGATTCAGGGACCACTCAGTGAATAACAAAGCACTAGAGTGTTCATTCCAAAAGTTGTAAACATTTTTCCCTCCCTATGTTTAAATATTTGTGGTTAACATTTGATGGGGTAGTGATTTTGTCTCTGAACTTTTCTCTACGTATGAAAATGTCACTTCTCTTATAACTCATAGCAGATTACTTATTGCATGCACAAGGCAAAACATAGGCATGTTTGAGTAAATATGCATACCTTCATACAGTGAGCATGCAGTTATAAATTTGAGAGCAGCACAAATATTATACACGAGGATTCCTTGGGTTGTGAGGGACCACAGTATAGATGACTGAGATTTATTTCCCTTAACCTCTTTCTGTAAGACAGAGATAGACTTACTTCAATAGAAACAGCTGTCGGAGGCACAGGCGTGTACTGGGGAATGTAGGTCCCTTGCATAGGAGCGGCAGCAGTCATATACTAGAGGGAATCAAAGAAAAATGCATGTGAACTTGAGGTTGCAACCAGAGAGAAAATTAGATAATACATGAAGCTGCTTTATATGTGTGATCCATGGCCAGTGCG